TTACTTAAGTTACAAAATTAAGTAAACCTTCCACCACTGGTAAATTCAAATAGGACAATAACAGAATTTCTTACCTTGTGCTTACTTTTTAACATCACACCTTACTACATTTGCATCTCAGCCAATAACCTTTCAATCCATTCATATAAATGCACTCCCTTTGCCCTGCTTTAAAGTGCATACCTCAACCCTCTTTCCAAAAACCAAAACAGCAGAACCATCAGCCTCTGAATCTTTACAACCAACCACCAGCCATCTTTAACTTTGCGGCTCAAGTTGAAATACCTTTAACCACGAACCATAAAACATTTTGGTGCTTGCCTCACCTTGTCCTAGTCCAGCAATAACATCTACATATCTCCAATAAACTTATCTATGCCCATGAATGAAGACAAGCAGGAGACATCAAGCTAAGTTACTGGTCAGATCTGTGGAGAGGCAAGATCACTCACAGTCAAAAAATGCTTCTTCAGGGTATTTTTTTTTTGGCAATAAAAACACTTGTAATTTAAAGGTGCATTGTGTAACTTAATGGTGGAGGGCCTGTCAAATGCTTTTCTCTGTGGAGATGTTACTATTAAAACGTTCTGAGTTCAGTGAGACCAAACCAGACCAAGTTACAGGTCAGATCTGTGGAGAGGCAAGACCGCTCACAGTCAGAATGTCTGTTTTTCTAGGTATTTTTGAATTATAAAACCACTTGTTATTTAATAAATTTAAGGTAAAGCTGTTTAATGTCATACTGCGGAACATTCCAGGCAAAACGCATATCCATAGAAACAAGTAGGTAGGTAGGTAAACAAAGTAGGTAGATAGGTAAACAAAAAGTGACATAATGCAGCTTTAACAAATGCAATAAATGTATGAATACTGTGAACACAAAAACATCTCCATGAGGACAAGCAGGTGACAGATGAAAGATGTTACATACTGCACCTTTAAGCTTTTGTAACGCATAACTCTGTGAGAATAAGCCATTTCATAACACAATTAATCTGATGACAAACCAGCTACAAATCAGCTAAATTAACTTGTTGGATGTATGGATTAGGATAACAGCGCAGAATAAAGCACTGATCTCAAAATCAGCCAACCAAATCTTTCACAGAGTACACTCTATTGCCCCAGATAATGCACTATTTACTCACATTTAGACTTGATTTTGACCCCGTCATACCGAGTACACCGCTTATGAAATCACTTGGAGATAGGATAACACCAGGATTTATTGGTATTGAAGCACTCAGCACATCGTAATAGGACAAAGCCCATTTAGGAATTGATGACAGGGGATAAAATGGCCGCCATGAATTATACAGCAAAACGATCCCAAAACTTTATTTACTCATCTTTTTAAACAGGAAGGGTAAGAGGAAGAGGTGAAGGTTTGGGGTGAACAGAAAGAATGCATTATATTTTTAATCAAACTGAGTGCACTGGAGAATAGCTGAGCAGAGAATAAATGGGGACTCTTAATATTGTGGGAGGAGGTGTGAGAAGGACTGAAACACAGCAGGCAGTAAGTGTCCGCACATGGAAAGAAGAAAATACCTGGAAGGGTTTAAACAAATGAGTTATATTTAAATGTGGTTCGGTTGGAAATTGTGTTTTGGATAGTTGGGGTGCACTGTTTAAAGGGCTCATATTACGCTGTTTTCAGATCTGTGCTATAATGCTGTTTCATTCAGTTATGTTTAACACACAAATCCTGCATATTTACGCTGAGTTTTTTTCTCAAATGGAAAACTCTCTGCTCCACCTTGTCATGTGGTAATACAGGACGAGCTCCACTGTATTTTTAAACTCCACACAACTTCACTAGAATCATTTGGTTGATTTCAGCCCTGGAATTGCCAACGTCTACTAAACAAACTAAAAGGTAGCTGGTAACTTGAAAACTACCACTTCATGACATCACAAGGCAGAGCATGTTGAGCTTTATTATTAGTCTGACTGGATGTTTTGAATCTGGAGGAAAGCAGACAGGAGCAACACGTTAGGCATTTTGCATTTAAACAAAACAAATCTACAGTGTACTAAATGCTGTTTAAGTTTTTTGTTAAGTAGGCCAGGGTTGTTACCACATAATAAACAAGTGAATATTCTTTTTGCTTTGTTTTCATTTACTGTTTTTATCTCTAAACACACATTTTAGACATTTGAAGATGATTCTACTGCAACTGCAATTTAATTTATAACACACTTTAAAAACAATACAGGTTGACCAAAGTGCTAATTCTAATCATACTAACTGAACTGGACCCAAGTTGGAAACCTATATCCAACTACTCAACTTAAATACTGTATTTTGTCAACCCAAAACATGCAGAATAGGTCAAATCCTTCAGATGAGGTAAACCTGACCAAACCTGGCTCGAGATTTGGAGATGGGTCCGTGGGTTCTTGATTGTGGCTTTGAAGGATGGGTCAAATGCAGAGGTCAGATTTCCATATTTTTTTTCCCTAATTTTATTTACTGTTTTTTAGCCAAAAGAGGTGTACATCCAGACAACAAATCAGATGTTACTATGTTCATTCAAAAGCCAAAACTTTGAATAGTGTTAAAAATATCCATTCCTGGAATCTATCTGTTTATCTTGTATGCCTGTTCCCTTTATCTTATTGATCTCATATTCAAACAGATGTCGCAGTATTTGATTCTTGAGTTCCTGTCTGCACTTCCCAACATATACCATCATTGTAAACAACCTAGACTCGAAAGAACCACATTTACAACACAATGAAAAGACTCCTTCCATACAGTAGGCTTTTATATCTTACTTGCAAGGTGACCCCAGCTTACCCAGTCTAACATAGTCAGAGAAATCAAATCAGTCAATGGAATCACATTATGTAAAATGAGGACATAGTTATAGAAGACTCAAGGGCCTTACCCATCTGTCCCGCAACAAAGTGACTGTTTTTGCAACTATTTTCCACATGTTTTCAAAGAACATGTTTGGGAACATCCCGTTGATTCAAAATTGTTTAAATTTAAAAGTATAATAAGTTTAAAGGGCCTTTATTATGTTTTTTCCTGATCTATGTTATAATGTTTCCTCATCAAAAACATGCCCACTGTTGTATTTAGTTTCATTCACACGTTTAACACACCTCCATATTTAGGCTGAGGCATAAAATTATAATTTCAGGCCTGGAATTGCCAACCTCTACTAAACAAAAGGTAAAAGACAGCTGTTACTTGAAGATGGAACAGAGCATTTTGAGCTTTGGATATGCAGACAGACTAATAATAAAGGATTACTCAAATGTGTAAATGAAACAAAATGCAACACCAAGTATGTTTTTGATCAGGTCACAACATTATAACATGGCTTAAAGTTCACAAGAGTAAATTTTGCATAGTATAGGACTTATTATTTCACCAACAGACATGAATATTTAGCATTTATATAAGTATTAATATCAAATTTGGTAGTTTGGCATAATTTATTCCATATGTCATGAGTCAAACACCAAATAATTCACAGCAACTAAACAATGAACAAGTTGAACATATCAGGGATCGCTTTAATGTTGTTGAGTCATGGACATTTTGCTTTAAAAATTCTCTTATTTTCCCCAAATCACTATATTTTTAACATAAGCGCAAATGAACAAAAAACAGCATGGACACATTGTATATCATATTGTACTGTTTATATACCATTGGCAGGCTTTGCAGGTTGGGGTCAAAGGAACAAGTGAATAGCATCATATGATATCATTGGAGAAAACAAAATCAAATTGTGTTTAACCCCCTCTAGTGGCCTGGTGCAGCACTGCAACCTTAAGCTCCCAGTGATTCACTCTCCCTAATAGTTGTTTATGAGCCTATGTTTGCAGTAGCTACTTATATAATTAAAGAATCACAGCATGACCCACTTTGTCTCCTGTGCCTCCTAGAACCATCCTAACAGAAATGCTGTGCAGTCTTAACTAAACGTGTAATGGTAGGATGGACTAGCTTGAGTCTAAAAACTGTAAAAATAACAAGGTGCTTTGCTGATTAACAACTTATTGCCCTGGACTCGTCTCTATTGGTCTCTGCAGCTCTGCCTGACTGCCAACAGTGCACCAGAACAGACAATGTGCCAACACACAAGTTTCCGTGGCTTCAAAACCTCTTGTGTTGTTTTGATTGAAGACTTTGTTTTTATTAAGAAGGCTATACCAGACGCATAATCACTATACATTGATTTAACATTACCTTTTACAATTAAATTCTTCACTGAAATTACAGAATAAATATATTCACATTTTCTTCAAATCTTTGTGAGAGAAAACATTAAAAGTGCCTCCTACAAAGCCGTTAGTGGGTGACAATGGGGAATGCAGAAGCGAATGGGAAAGGGGGGGTCTTAACAAAGTGCATGGGTATCCAGAAAACCTTGAGTGTTGTCTTATAATAATATTCACAAATGTTTTACCATCCGTGCGTCGGCGCGTCCTTTACCAGAAGCACCCTGATATAGACACAAGTCTTTGTTAAGAGTAATAACCATATTAATAAGATATAAAAATTAAATAGAACACAGCAGTGTATCTGTTCGTATGTGACGTGGTAGTCCTCTGTAATCCCCCTCAGGAGCGAGTGCATGCAGCACACTGCAGTCCCCTTCTCTCTCTGTGTGTGTGTGTGAGTGTAGGCTACATCCACAAACACCAGCACAAGTCAAGGAGACGTCCTGCTCCTGTGCGTCTGCTGTCACCACACAAGGCTTTCCTCACACACAGCGTGACCCTCGTATACATATGTGGCTCTCACTGGAGCATATAGAGAGATTTATATACTGTAGAAAAATAACGGTTGTTGACATTGCTGGCTACTCTGAAAAAAGGCACTTCATTGAAATATCTGAGAATGGCCTCTCCACCAAAGAAATTTGGGGGGAAACTTGTAACTGTAATACAATATTTCATTTATTATCATGCTGCTTTTTTATTTTGGGTCACTTCTTTTGATGGTGGAAAAGTTGTTTTCCCATGGGCTAAACATGTTAAAACCGATACGATTTTTCCAAGACTTCGAGGTAATCCGGCTTGGTCTGAAGTTTGGCCCTTAACTCGAGGTAATCGCTTTGGGACGGATCGGGGTAGCAGCCTTTCCCCGCCGTGAAAAGCAACGTCTCCTTCAGTCGTGCATCCTGTTGTAAGTCTGGGTACTGCATGCCTGGTGGGTGTGCATGCGCCACATGCATGTCCTTTAGTTTGGGCACGGTCCCATACAGACAGTCTACAAAGCCCACAGTGGGGGTGGGCCTCTGACTGTCGATGACAGTGGGGCACAGCCCTCCGTTCTCGTGGAACCCTGCTATGTCAGCAGTGCTGTGGTTCACTGTGACGATGGTGTTGAGCTGAGAGTTGGACACGGCCAAGGTCCACTCTCTCTCTTTCTCTAATAAGGTTCTGTAATTGTTGCTACTGCTGCCACTGTCTTTCTTCTCGGTAAACTGCCGACCCTCCTCTGCAATCTCTCCCTCACGGGGCTTATATATGGGGTTGTTGCACATCTGAGTGACCGGGTGGGGGATGTAATCATAGACGTGTCCATGGGCGTGAGAGTGACTGCTGTGAGTGTGCAATGTAGGAGTGGGCTTCTCCGGTGGCGATGTTTCCAGCACTACTTGGTCTTGGCGGATCCTCAAAAATCCGGCACTGCATTTGAATCCCTGTCAGATCCACCTCAGAACGCTTCCTAAAGGGCAGCTTCTTCCTGCGGCGGAGGACAAAAGCAAAAAGCCCAGCAGCCACGAACACAGCCGAGATGAAAAGAATGAGCAGGCTGAGGATAAGGACAGACAGAGGCACAGCTCCCCTGGCGCCCGCTTCTCCCATGTTAGAGCCCCCTCCATTCACGTCATCCCCCGGCAGAACAGGGGAGGGCCCAGACAGCTTGAGCTCTGGGCACAGCACCTCCACCTCCAGGGAGCGCAGATCCTTGCCAAAAGCGAACTCTGGAGTTTTGCAGATGACGTCGCCCACCACAATGACAGAGGACAGCTTCTCCACCCACTGCTTCAAGGGGATTATGTCACAGGAGCACTCCCATGGGTTCTGGTGCAGGTCGATTTGAACCAGGGAGGTGAGGTGCTCCAGAACGCCACGCACAGGCAGGGACAGGAAGTAGTTGTTGCGGAGGTTGAGACGTGCAAGATTGGTGCCGGCGAAAACATCAGCGGGGAGGGTGCGGAGCAGGTTGTCGTTAAGAAAAACCAGCTGGAGGGAGGGCATCAGGGAGAAGGAGTTAGGTTGGATCTCACGGATGACATTATACTCAAAATAAAGATAACTCAACATATGGAGGCCCCTAAACATCCCTGGAGTTAGTCTCTCGATATCATTTCCATTCAAATATAAACTTTTCAAATTGGGCAGGTTGATAAAGGCCCCCTCTTGGACGTAAGAGATCCGATTATTTCCCAAATGCAATAAATCCAAACTTGAGAAGTTCCAAAAATCGGAACGGTAAATTTTCTGGATTAGATTCCCGCTTAGATATAACTTCTTGGCATTTAGCGGCCTTGGGAGGAGCTCGGAAATATTGTGAAAGCCTTTTTCTTTGCAGTTAACGGTTAGCCCCAAGTCATTAATGTGAAGATTGCAAATGCATCCAGAGGGGCATATGATCGGGATGGGGGGTCTTGTTTGGTAGCCAGCTATGGGAGGTTGGTTCAAACCGGGGTAGATGCTACGAGGGGTGGGCGGGTTCTTTGTAGCTTTGGGGGGCCGTCTGGTGGGTTTGGCTGTTCTGTCCCGGTATTCCACAGAGGACGCCGTATTGTGGAACGACGACAGCATAGACGACGGTTTTGTAGGCCATGTGTTTTCATTGTTGAAGTGTATGCGCGGAATTCCGAGTTTTGCTTCGATTTCCGCGTCCGATAGCAGAGGACAGAGCTCGCTACGTTTGATTTCTCGCAAGTCCTTCCCGTGCAGGTGGAACGGATACTCGCACGTGATCTCGCCCACCAACGCGGTGTACGGGATTCTCTCGAGCCACGTTTTCAATTGCACTATCTCGCACACACAGTTCCACGGATTCTCCTCCAACTGGATTTCCATCAAGCTCCGCCCAATATACTCCAGCATGCCCTTGTACGGTAACGTCTTTAACCTGTTCCCTCTCAGGTCCAGATGCGTGAGAGATACGGAGCGGAACAGGTAGTTGGGCAGCACTGGGATCAGATTGTCATTCAAAATCAGCACCCGTAGTTTGTGGAGGTGTCTGAAAGCGCCGCTCTCGATCCTTTTAATAACATTGTAGTCCGCTTGCAGATATTCTAAGCTCTCTAAACCAAGAAAAGTGTCATTCCGGAAAACCTCCAACTTGTTCTCGTGCAAAAATAGCCGCTTGAGTATTCCTAAGCCATTGAAAGCCCCGGCGTGTATGTCTTGCAACGCGTTATTACCCAGATTTATGGATATGGCATTGTTCAGATGGAGGAAGCTGTTAAAGTAGAGCTTCCTCATGGAATTTCTCTGCAGGTTGAGTTTGAAGGGCCGACTCCATATCTGGGAGATCTGGCTGACATTTGTAAATCCTTTGCTGTCGCAGTGGACGTGAAAGATGCCCTCCTTGACCTCGCAGTAGCACGGCTCGAAGCAGGGCTCGTCTATCTCCTCCGAGTCTTCCAGAAGTGGGATTGGGGTGCTCCATCCTAGGGCTATGGTGGCCAGCAAGGTAACCCACAGCATCCTCGCCGACACCAGGGGAGATGAAGTGTCGGCTCCAGCGAGAGAGCCACTTCACAGCGCTGCAACAGAAGAGACGGAGAGGGATAGTGGTCGGAAGTGCAAGCAGACAGATCAACACATGCACACAACCTAACACGGACTTAAAGGTGCACCGTGTATCGTGTCTGGCGGAGAGCCCGTCAAATGCTTTTCTTCATGGAGATGTTACTGCTTTGTCTAGAATGTTTTATGTATTTTATTGTATGTATGTTTTATGTATGGTATTAAACTTTTCTGTCTTTATGAAGACCAAGTTACACAGTCAGAATGTTGTTTTTCTAGGTGTTTTTGAGCTATAAAACCACCTGTAATTGAATAAATGTAACGTAGAGCTGTATAGTATCAAACTGTGGAACATTTTAGGCAGAACACTGACATATCCATAGAAACAAGCAGATGACAGACCCCCAAACAAAACATTTCATAGTGCACCTTTAAAGGTCCGATAATCTGCTGAATGTAGGTGGAGCTCCGTCAAATTTTGGCTATTTAATCGTTCTTGCTTTTTAATTTTACCGTGCCAGTATATATCATCTGTAATGATTGTCTGTTGTTTGTTTATAGTTTGTCTTTGAGTTTTTTGCACGTTCTTCTTATGTGTTTTGTACGACAGATTGCAAAGAACCTAACCTAACATAACATAAATGAGATATACGTGGCTTTTAACTTTGCTTTAAAGCTGTTTCCTTGACACAAATCTGTCTGAAGTTGTTATTTCTTTCATTCACACATGTTTGAGTCATCCCGTGTGTGTAGTCCACTTCATCTCAAGGACTCGCAATGCTTCATTCAACAGCGTGATGTCATCAGGTGATAAACAGAGAGGTTTTTTAAAGTCCACGCATCTTACAGTAACTAATTATGATCATTTCAGTGCTCAAACGGCGCTGGGCAGCTAACCAACAAATGCCAGAAATGCTTATTTATTATTTTTTTTACACTGATCAGTACACAAGCAATTGGAGTCATTGCACCCTCTGCTGGAAACAGTAGTGCTTTTTGTATTCCTGTCATTTAGTATTGAGTTGTTTTCCATTTATAAACATTATTTGGGATTATGCAAAGTGAAATACCAGTGCTTAGATGTTTGACAGCAACAAGCCAAAAATAATGCAAAATATAGGACCTTTAAAATAGCTTTTCAATGATGGATAATAAAATGACATTTGGGGCCACTTCAAACCGACAGTTTCGAGCTAAAAATCAACATTGTGGATGGATGGCACGATGCTTCTATAGCAACACAAACAATCCCCGCTACCCTACTGTATATATAGGGAGAATTGCCATTTATTTTCCAGCTGATATGGTGCTAAAGTCGCAATAAATCAACCTACCCCCCTACCCGAAAGAGATGCTTATCACTATGAATAAATGAAGCAAACAGCAGGTGTGGGAGAGGTGAGGAGAGGAGAGGAGAAAGCGTCCCCGTTAGCTGTGTTTATTACATAATACAGAGCTCAATCCCTCTTAGAAAAAGCGTTGGACCAAGGGGCACGTCAGGGAGAGGGCTGAGGCAGGGAGCAGGCTGGGGTGGACAGGGACGGAATGCAATATCAGTGACGCAGGGGGGTGTTTTTATGGAAGTCATCTGGAGACATGGTTAAATGCATGTTTTAGTTAACGCTCGACACTTAACATGTTAAAAGCCAAGATGGAGAATCGTCACAAGAGATGTAGCCTATTGTTTCGCACAAGTGAAGAAGCAAAATAAACTACTCATTGCTTTGTACAGGTCCCTAGAGTCCAATTTTAGCCCATTGGGTGTCAGCCTCTTCAAATGCATAGAATCAATGTCTTTCAAAGCACTCACCTCAAAATGAAAATATCGACTGTAATTCCCCTAGCACGCACGAAATCATAAAAAAAAATGTCAAAAAAGCAATCCACTGAGTCCGTTGCGTGGTGATTAATTATTTAAATGGTGCGTTAAACACAACATGGACGGCAGATCAATGGGATCGAGTGGTCGCGTTTAAGGTGACATTAAAGCCAGTCACAAAATATGACATCAGCACAACTTCGGGCGTTTTGCTGTTCGTGTTGTGAGGAGTCGCAACGCACCGGTGAGCATGCGGTTTGGTTATTTAAAAAGCTACTTTGTACATGTTTATTAATTGGGATTCAGTGTTTTATGTATTTTTACAGTTAATACATTGTTTTTGTAATATTTAGTTAACAATTCAAATGTTTACAGTGGACTATAGTTGCTATACTTGGTCCGTTTCACGCAAATAAGCTGCAAAATCCGTATGGAGAAAGCGCTTGCACCGTGCCGCTGTCCATGGTGCTTAAGCAACGGTAAGCGGCAGAGAAGCCCAGTAAAATCTTTTAAAAATTGAAACAAAAAGCAAAACACGTATTGTAATCCACAAAAATGGCAAAAATGAAGTGTCGAAAATATAAAAAAGAGGGATCCTCAGACATCCAGTCCGTGCGTAATCCTAGGATTTCCTTATGACGCTTCCATGGATCAAAAGGCGCCGGTGTGGTGTCAAAAATATAGGAGCCCGGCATTAAAGCAATTAAAAAAGAGGAGGAAAGGAACATCGGGTGCTGTGTTATATTCCCATGAGAGGTTTGTGTGTGCGTGGAGTGTTATATACGTACTTAGTTTAGCGGGAACTTCACATATCCTCTTGCGGTCTGTCCGTCTGTCGTCGCCCGGTGGGTCCAGCTCGCTGTCCTGCGCTGGGCTGCGAGGACAGAGAGTGACATGGAGCTTAGAAACGGCCACTACACTGCGCTTGGAGAGAAAACAGTGCGCAATGGAAGGGTTCGAGGCGTCTTAAATCCAAATATGACAGTTGAGAAGAGCAGGACAGACTGCATTTTTACACATTTTTCTTTAGAATAACCTTGCAGACACTCTGGGAGATACAGCCAAGCATAATGCAGTAGCCTCTCGACGTGACATTGGCAGGGAAACAGCGAATATAAAAGCTATTGATCAGCTCCGCGCGAGGCTCGCTTGAATGTCCTGCTTTTTTCGGAGTCTAAAGGCTTTGCAGTAAACGGTCAGCATGGAATGGCAAACCTATAGACACGCGCACGCACCAGATCAGCCAAATAACGGGAAAAGGCGCAACACTTACCTCCTACTGCAATTGGAAAGCATCGGGAAAATCTGAGTTTGAATCTTGTTAGATCTCTCTCCTCTTCTCCTCTCGCAGTGAAATGAAGACGTGATGGGAATGCGATCTTCCCCCTCCTCGCTCTCCCTTTCTCTCTCTATCCCGCTCTCGCTCCTCTCTTCTTTTCTCTTCTCTCCCTCCCCTCTAAGCAGTTTGCTTAAAATGCAAGTGCTCGACTTGTGCCCGTCCGCTTCCCTCCACCACCAACACCCCCTCGCCTTTTTCCTCTGTTTTTCTCTCTCTCCTCCTCTTCCTCTCAGCCGTGCGCACCTCAACAGTGAAGCCGGGTTAACACTGTCCTCTGGTTGGGTTTGTTTTTGGGGAGCTGTGCCGTGTCCGCGTGACAGTCACATCGACGTCTTGAATGTTCCCTGTGATTATTTCTCGCCTCTCAGTTCTGCGTCATGGAGAGAAGACACGGAGGAGAGGAAGGATAAAAAAGAGTGATGGGCTGCGCTATAGTTGTGGATCGAAAGGAGGAGAGGAGGCGAAGTGAAGGAGCGCTCCGGATAGCGCAACGGGAGCGCGCACTCGGGAAATAAATAAAGAAATAAGGACAGACCTGTGGATGGCAGCCAGAAATAAGACTACTCCCATACTCTTAAAACTTCCGCTGTGTTCAGACGCAGTCACAGTCTCTCTAATATGTTTATATTTACAAGTCAGCGCCGCGGAAAGCACAGTTGGCTCCGTTCATATCCACTCGTTTGCAGAAAGCGGTGACTGTGGATGTTCGAACAGAGGAGAGAGGGAGAGAGAGAGCGCGCGCTACAGCCTACACCTCTCCCTTCCCTTCCCTTCTCTCCGTCTGTGCGTGTCTTCCCCCGCCTCGCCTCCAGCGGGCAACACAAGCCCGCGTTGTGAAGAGCCACGAGAGCGCACAAGCACGACTCTATACTTCACACAGAGGGCACACATTCACGGGCTGATTGCTCTGAGATGATAGTCACACTACATGTAGGATATGCAAAGTAAAGTCTCTGATTGAGGAATAGAACCTCCGCTGAAGTACTGCGTGTTACGTGAAGACAGTGGCCACATTTACTCAGAAAAACATAGCCTATCAAATATATACTGTACGTTACTGATATTTTGGCAACATTTTTATAAGAACTTTATGAAGAAAAGATGACAATTATTTTCAGTTCTAATGAAACACAGACGTATATATGTATATATATATATGTATATGAAACCTTGAACCTTTTCTTCTCCCTTCTCTCCACCCAGTATAGATGGTCTGTATTACGGATCTAAAACTGATCTAATAAAAGTAATACATTTCTGAGTAATACATTAAATAATAGTAACAGTATACTACTACTACTACTTCTACTATTACTATTACTACTGCAGCAATCATTTTTATTTTATTATTTTATTCAACCAGGAAAATTACAGTAACATTACCATTTGGGCCTGGTAAAATCATTTGAATAGCATTTGCCTCTGAATTAGACGGTTCTGGAGAAACAGTTTCCACTTTAACTTCGAGCCTTTAGAAAAGACATGTCAAACTCAGGCCCGAAGGCCAAATTTGGCCTGCGATATAATTATATTTCACCCGCGAGATCATATCAAATATTTAATAGAGCTGGTCTACCGGCTACAGATAGGCTATAGAGACATCATTTATTTAAAATGTTATTAAAATGTTATTATTTTATATTATGCTTGTTCTGTATTCAATGTTTAAGCAAAACTATTATTAAACATGTGTTTTAATAAGAAAAGGTTTAATATTTCATATCTCAATAGAAGAGAAAACATGCAGATGTGGTTGAAATTTTTCAATAAATATTTAGTTTGGCCCACAACTTAGTCCCA